CATAATTGCAGATCTCAGCCAATGTTAGCAAAATCTGAGAGGCCCGGCAGCTACCCAACCAAAATTCAGAGCAAAAACAGTATCCAGGCATCTGAAGAAAAGTACTCATATGTAGAAGCCAAAACAGTTGATCTTACAGAAGTTAGGACCAGAATGGTAGTTAGCAGAGTATCAGGAGACTGAACAAGGGAAAAAGATAGGGAAAATTTATCCTACTGTTAGATAGGAGAAATTCCTCTGGTATTTTATTGTACAGTAAAATGGCTAGAGACATTAACAGTGTACTATGTATATTTTACTTTTTTAATTTAAAGAGAATAAAAAATTTTAAAAAGCATTAAAAATGATTCAGAATTTAAAAACAAGATGATAGGAAATCAACAATGGCTGTTATATTGTATATTGTTATCTTCAAAGCAGTTGTTCAGATTACCAGATACAAGCATGCAAAATTGGTCAGAAAATTAAGCATTAACTGTTCCTTTAAATAAATCAATAGAAATTGGTAGTACATTTATCTTAGCTATCATGTGTATATATTTTTCCCTTCCTTCCTTCTTTCTTTCTTTTCTCCTTTCCCTCAACCCAGTTCTTCTTTCCTTTTGAGCAATTTCTTTCCCTTTCACAATATCTATTGTACTTTTTGGATTTTGTTTACCCTTTCAGTTTCTTTTAAAATGGAGACTTTTTCTTTAGTTGTTCTTTGTCATGGAAGTATTTTATTTCTCCCTTAGATCTGCAAGGTAGTTTTGAAGGGTACATTCCCATTTGGTTAAGGACCTGTTCTTTCTCCCTTGCATTCTATTAGGCCCTGATGGTCAGTTTGTATAAGATCATTACTTAGGCCCTTTGGTATGTCTCTTAAGCCCTGCCTTTTAGTTTACTTCAGGTTAACTATTCAGGACCTGAACCCTATCTGTCTAATTTCTATCTTTTGCTTCAACGTGCTCACACCAGGAAAGCCAAAGAAACAGTGAGGCCAGTGGACAGCCAAGTATAAATTTTATGCCACTTGTGAGCTGGAATCTGTTTTCAGAATAAGACACTGGGATTTAACTTTGCATGGTTGGAGATTGAAAGCAAGCATCATTGTGAGACAGGCAGGCTCAGAATTTCACATCTCCACACCCTTACTGTATTCTCTCCAACTATGTGATAGCTACCTACTTAGGATATGGTGTGAGTAGTGTGTACTGAGCAAAATCTTGCCAGCACTCCAATGCTCATGGTAAAATGAATGAAATGTTGTTTCTGTTCTCAAACAGATGATAGTAGAATGTAGAAAAAGAAATCTACACATGCCTATCATGTTACATAACCCGTCTAAATTCTCCCGGAAGACAGACACAGACACAGAGCTCAGAGTACAAGATTATCTCAGTAGTAATTGGGTAAGTGGGGAGAGTCGATCAAGGAAGTCTTTAAATAACTGAAATTTGGACTGAGACACTACAGTTTAGTACTCATCATCCTTTCCCAATTCTGCCAACATATTAAGTTTTTGAATTGGCAAAGAATGATAAAGAGGATATGGGGAGATGTAAAAAGAAGAAGAGGCAAATCATGGAGGCATTAAAATGAAATCTTAGAAGTAGTGCAAGGAATGATGCTCAGTATGTATGAGTTCTCTTCCTTGAGCTTCCCCATGTATTTCGTAGTAGTTCCAGTATTGATTAGGAACAATTATGAAACTGCAGCAGCATGTGCAATGAGCAACATCTCCCATGACCTTGATCTAGTGAGGCTTGGCATAATTTTTGTAAAATTACTTGCTTTCAATTAAACAAACCCATGAAGTCCAGAGTAGGTCAACCAGGCTACCAGAGCAGAACATGCCAAAAAGCAACACTGTGCTCCCTTGGGCATCCTCCCAGGAACATATCCAACCCTGCAGTGTAAAAGGCCAAGATAAAAACACACAGAAGTCAGTGATAAAGTGGAGAGGTGAAAAACAATGGGACGCATCCACTGGCTCGGTGCAGTCTTTTGCTTGCAAAAGTCCCCAAGTGGGTGCCAGGAAGAGAAATCATTCTTTTAATTCCTCACATATGTCATTCCTGGCGCAAAAATTCCACTCACAACTTTTTATAGTCTTGTTACGGATGAGAGCTTAAGAGTTCTCAGCTAATATCAGAAAACCCATGCTCTAGTCTAGCATTGTACCTGTTGGAAATATGTTCTACAAAATCTTGATGATGGGAAAATCTTGTCTTAACATGCTTTTACACAAGTGACAGAATACTGCACATCAGCTTCAGATATTCTGAAGAGTACAGAAGAGGAGCTGTAGTTTCTCCCTTTATGTCCATCTAGAACATTTTATTTATTCATTTTTAAAGAGCAGCTGGAAACAAATATGAAAGTTTTTAAGCCTCAGTTTTTAAAGGGCATATGTTCTGAGAAATGTGTCCTCAGAAAATCCGTTGATGTGTGAATTCCAACAAAACAGTGTAGCTTACTACACTAATAGGCTATATAGGGTGTGTGTGTATATATGTGTATGTGTATTCTACAGCCTATTATTCTTGGGGCCACTACAAACAAAGCAACATGACATTGCATCAAGCTCTACCAAAAATAATGCAAACAAAAGATTCTATAAACATCTGTGACTTCTCCCACTATACATGGGTGGTCTGCACTATGAGTATTCTCAGTGGGCTTCTCCAATGACTTTCCACTCTGACCCACTTCCCTGAATCCTTCTCTTTATTTGAACTTCACTATACTTCTTATTAAACCATGTAAAGACAAACGGGGCATGAAGACATGGCATGCCAGAGCCAAACTACAGATACACAAGTTTCATTGTGTACTTCCTTTTCAAAGTCATTCTCTTTCACATATTTGAGAAGGTACTAGAAGGAAAAGCCCAAACAGAAATAACTCAGGAGTACTTCTTCAGTTTACAGGTCACAATGCTAGCAGGATTAAGGGAAATTGACAATGCACGACAAAGGACCCAAAAGGAAAGTAATATGGAGGAATATACCCACCCTCCACTTACAGGAAGACAGAGCACAGCAATAACTACAGCTGTAGAAGTAGGAGTACAAGAGCAGGCAAGGTGAAAAGCATTGCCATAGCCAACTACAATCTCACAATTCTGGAGACAGAGGTGAAACACCCAAATAACTCTATATGCTCTCTTTGTCTCTTTGTCTCTTTTTCTCCCATGGTGGAGTCTCCTGTGGTTTTAAATCACATGTGCTAACTGAAGTCCCCTGCATGGGACCAGCAGAGATCATAGACTGGAATATTTTAGATACTGTCAATAGAGGACATGTTCAGCAGCAGAGAGAATCCAGTATTTAGAGCCAATAAAACCTAAGTTTGAGTCCAGCTTCTATGAGATTATTTAAACTCTGTAAGTCTCAGTTTCTTCCCCTGAAACATAGGGACTGTAATTTCTGAACATCAAGGTGGTCCTGAGAATACAGACTATGCAGCAGGTGCTCAATATTATTTATGTTCCCAGGAACACCAGTGGAGAGCTTTGAATGCGAATCAAATCATCCTGCCCAGTGGTGCAGAATTAACAACAATGGATGAATTTTCATCTATCTACATAGTGGAGAAGACCCAAGACTTCCTGATAGTCATCTTTGCCCTGATAGGGCTGCCTGGAAATGCGGCTGTGATCTGGCTCCTGGGAATTCAAAGGCACAAGAAGCCCATCTCAGTCTACATCCTCCACCTGGCCACATCGGACTTCCTTTTCCTCTGTTGCCTCCTTACATTCTACCTGTGGAAACTTATTGACAGGTTTCCCTATGAGTACTACATCTACATACACGCTCTGGGGATGTTTTTCTACGTGACCAGCCTGCTCATGCTCAGTGCCATCAGCACTGAACGCTGCCTGGCAGTCCTGTTCCCCATCTGGTACCGCTGCCACCAGCCAAGACACATGTCAGCTGTCTTGTGTTCCCTGTTCTGGGCTCTGTCCCTACTGCTCACTATCCTGCTGCACATCTCACATTGCTTTCTATTTCAATTTGTTCAACTGTATATGGGAATGCGTTTATTCATAGCTTCATTGGTAGTCATTTTATTTGTGGTTCTCTGTGGGTCCAACCTGGTCTTATTGGTGAGGATGCTCTGTGGCTCCACAAGGTTGCCACTGACCAGGCTGTATGTGACCATTGGACTCACAGTGCTGGTCTTCCTCCTCTGTAGCCTGCCTCTATGTATCATATCAGCCTGGGATGATGTGATTCATTATAAAATAGGTTATTTTAATTTTATGGTCCTTGAGAATACTGGTTATTTGCTGTCTAGTGTCAACAGCAGTGCCAACCCCATTATTTACTTCTTTGTTGGCTCCTTTAGGCAGAAACAGCATCAAGGACACCAGCGCTGGTCCCTGAAGGTTGTTCTTCAGAAGGCCTTGGAGGACGGAGGTGAGGCAGGGGAAAGTGGAGAAAGGCTTCCTCAGGAAAGTGTGGAGATGTCATAATCTGTGGGGAGCAGCTGAGCTGGAGGTCACTGAACTCCTCAGGACTAGAGCAAAGCCAGTCCCAGGGACCTAGAATGCCAGAGGCAGACTGTGTAAATATGTTGACCTCTAGCTCGGTTGCATATCAGCAGGTGTCTGGCCTTGGTGTTCCTCCTGGTAACTACAGCACAGATAGCTCTGAAAATGTTTCACTTCCATGTTCTCAGCAAAACACTGAGACATTGCACTTTCAACCCCATCATGTACTTCACCCCTTTTTAACTTTGTATAAATAAAGACACTGGGGCCAGCACAGCTGTCACTGCTTCTCCATCAGAGGGCCACATCCCACCCAGTCGCAGCTTTCTAGGTAGCAGCAAGAATCCTCTTCAATGTACTAATTCTGTAGCTACCGAGGTTCCATCAGAGAAGCTGCCCCTTTAGACAATTACTTGCATAATTGTGAAAGCTCACATCCTTATATAGATATAAAGATATATATAGATAAAGATAGAAATAGAGACATAGGCCTATTTACATATGTATTGCCTGCAGTAATTTTCAAACAGTAGAGTTGAATACTTGTAACAGAGACCATATTACCACAAAGATTAAAATATTTAATAACTTCTGCAATCTCTCCCTCTATATGAATGTGTGTGCGTTCACAAATGTGCACACATGAGAGCTTTAGCTTACAAAGATCTAAGTTCTGTTCTGTTTATGTTATCTGGGGAAGGCTGTTGTCTCTTTGTCTCAGGCTGGAGCTTGCAGTTGACAGAAAAGCCAATGCCAAGAAACACAAGTCAAGACCCACAGGAGCCAACTAACGCACCTACCTGTGCTCCCGCTGCCAGCCACACTTGGTAGTATCAGGGTTCTTCCAGGGAAGTTGATTTCCTTCCTTACGGAGTGAAGACACACTGCAGCAGACAGTCAAAGAGAAGGTGGAGCATCTGCAGGACCAGCTGTTGGCTCCTGAGGCGACCAACAGGGAAGCAACAACACTCATGAGCATCCTAGTATGCATGCACCTACCATAGCAAATAAAATCTAAATGGCACCTGCTTCAAGTCCAATGATGCATTCTTCATGTACAACCTAACCAGAAGATTAAAGGGAAGAAAATCTGGGAATTGTACTTCAACCTAGATAAGTTGACACTTTCAAGTAACTGCAACCTATTCCTTTTCAACTTGGATACTTTTCAACTTCTTTAAACCACTGACAATTCCAAATAAAGACAAGTGCAAAATCAAGTCTCTCCCTATTTGGATAAAACTGTGTAAACTACACTGGAAAAATGAAAATACACAATAAATAATTCATCTTACAGTTAGTCACCATAATATATCCCTGTGTGATGTAGTGGATTGTCAATCAGTAGTCAACTTGTAATGCCCAGCTGAACTGAACCAGCATGGTGCTGGGGGTGGGAGGCCCAACTAAGGATTGTTGACAACAAAATAAAAAGAGCTGGAGAGGAAGAAGTTTCAAAGCTGTTGGGAGCTGTGGGAAACTGTTAGGGAGCTGTTGGTTCTCTTGGAGGACCTTGCCATCCTGGCTTTTCCTGATATGAATGCAGCTGTTCTCATCATCAAAGGAGCTCGGGATCTTATTGTCACTGAGAATGGCTATGGTTAGCTTTGGAGGAGCTCTGGTCCTTACTTTGAGCATCACTTCCTAGCTCCAGAGTGGAAGACAGTGCACTGTTCAATGTCCTGGAGAAGGTTGTCACGCTGGTTTTCCTGATAGAAGCTCAGCTGTTATCATCGGAGGAGCTCGGGACCTCACTGTTGCTGAAGATAGCTGTGGTACTTTTGGGGGGAGCTCTAGTTCTCACCATTGCTTCCTGGCTCCAATACAGATCCCTCAGCCGGCTAGCACAGACCCTTCACCCTGCTGGCACAGACTTCTATCTTCCACCACTGACCTTGGGGCCTTCCCAGCACAGATCCATAAAACAGGCCTGCATGAGACATAGTCATGTGCTCTTGGTCTCCAGCTGGACTCGTGGGGGTTGGGGGTTTTTAGGGGCTCTAGGTCTTCAGCTGGACTCATTCAGGACATTGCTGTAGAATCCAGGCCCTCAGCTGGATTCTTTTACTCTTAGTGTGTGGACAGGTTTGCTGCACTCTCTTTGTATATGACTCTTTGGGTGACTATTATAAAATAATTTTATAAATTGAGGGTCCTGCATTGCATTGTTTCCCCTTGTAAATCCCCAGCTATAACATATGAATTGTCTTTTCAAGACCACTGCCCACTTTTATGCAGTTAGCTCTCTACATTCTTTGTTAAGTTCTTTAAGTATTTTAAATTTAAAAATACTTTAGTTAGAAATGCTAGCACAGGCAAGCTCCCATTGCCCGCCATTGCTTCTGATCTAGACCCATATTTCCCACTTAAAGGATTCCACATAGGAATTACTAACTGCAAGTAGATAAAGTGGGATGAGAGAGGCTTCTATGTAAATGGAAATTGAGTAGTGAGTGTCCAAAACATGTCTGTTAAGAATCATGTCACAAACTGCTCTGGTCTCTGATTTGCAGGCAGACCTAGTGCAAGAAGTCACAGTGGCCACCCATTAAAATGATGTTTGGATTAATCTGCAGCTCCTGTAGATGTCTCCAGATTGGGAGGAAAGAGAGGAATGCTCAAATATCACCAAGTCCTAGCAAGCCTTCTTTCCTTTTTTGTGTGGGACAGTTTTCACTTCTGAGAGGAGAATGGAAAGGATATAAGGTCATATAGCAACACCCACCTTATTTCCAAGTTTGTAAGAATTTTTGTTCAAAGTATATAATCTCATTTTCTACCTTGTGTGCTACACTCAGGGGGTGACATAGCTTCTTTCTGGGAAAGGAAAAAGACGTGAAGCTTCCTCCTGAAAATGGTGCTGGCAGCCTCCACCATGAGTGTTCTCCATGACTTATCTAAACATTTTTCCATTGAGATTCATGCTAATGCATCCCTCCTTTATTCCAAAAATACTGTTCTCCTATCCTGGGAGAATTCTGCCTCCTAAAATTCACTTACAACACGAGTTGATGTGTAGGCATTGGAACCCAAAGCTGAACTGCATAAGCCCAGGTTTAACTGTTTTACTTACTTTCAAAGTTATTCTCTAGAAATCAGCAATGCATGGTGAAGCATCCTAAGGAAATCAATAGAGGAGACCATATCCACTAATTACTGGGAAGACAGCATAGCCATGGCTACAGTAATAGCAGTACGAGAGGATGAGCAGGCAGGGAAAGCACTGACAAGCCCAACTCACACCTCACAGGCAATAAGCCAGGTGTTGAAAAACTCAGATCTTCTTATTAGGCCCTCCAGTCTCCTGGGTGTGTCTTCAAGTGGCTCTAAAAATACATGTACAAACAGAAACGCTCTGACAGGCACAACTACATTTAGAATATAAAGAGAGTTGCTCTGGATTTAGTCCCACTTCCTCTCCTGGCTAATTGAGACTGGGACATGGTTTCTCTAAGAGAGCTCATGATGGACAAACCTACACTTCTGGATGCTTCTGTTTACGTCCTGAGTAGGGAATGTGTCCTTTTTTCCACTCAGAGGCCCCTTGCCTACACGAGGCTTCTGGACTATTAAGCTATCACTGACTTCATGAAGTAGGCAAGCTCTTCCAAATTCTGATAGCTATTCCTAATCGGCTGGCAACACTCTTTCTCTTGATTTTCTTGCCTTTCTTTCTAGTCTCTTCTGGAGTTCTAATGCTAGTTTTTATTTAGTTTTCACAATTTGGCTGGCTAAGTTTATTTAATGTGGGATTTACTGCTCTATTATTGCTATACCTACTAGAAATCAATAGTCTTGAGGTGGTGGGTCTGAATGTAAGGTCACAAAGTGTTCCCTGAGACAGCATTTCTGGGTTCTGTCCACAGTGTTAGACCACAACTAATCATTCATCCTCTCTGCTCTGTTTCCATAGTCAGTAAAATAGAAAAAAAAAACTACTTCTTGCCCACAATGGAATACTTTTTGGCTATATAGACAAAGGATAAATTTGAGATACTGCAGCAAAATGGATACACCTGGAAAATATAACATTAAGTGAAATAAATCAGACACACAACCTTAAATGCAATATCGTATCTCTCATTTGAGTAAGACAAAGTATAAATAAAGAGCAAGATAAAGGATTGACAGAAGGAAAGTGGAGATAGATCATTTGCAAATGGGAAGGAGTCCAAGAGACTGAGGGTGAGGGGAGAGGGGAGGGGAAAGGAAAGGTAAAATATTGAAGATATATCATGTACATGTACCAAATACCCACAATGAATGTAACCATTATTTGTCATAAACGTGAACTAAAAAAATAATAATAACAACGATCATGAAAATGGGGAAAGAGAATCTAGAAATGAAGGAAGGTGGGTGGAGAGTGGAAGAGGAATAAAAAAGAATCAATATGCATATATGTACCTACTCCCTAAAATGAACATAAACTTCATCTACTGCAAACATGAGCTAGCCGGGCATGTTGGTGCTCACCTGTAATCCCAGCACTTGGGAGGCTGAGGCAGGAGGATGGTTGAGAATTCAAAACCAACCCGGGCTACAAAGTGAGCTGAAGCCCAGTCTGGACTACATAGGAAGACCCTGTCTCAGAAAGACCAAAAAAAAAAAATGAGCTAATAAAATTTTTAAAAACATAAACAGGAAAGTCTCAGTCAGCTGCTATTATTCACCCAGGTGTGAGCTGGTACTCTTTCTGTTGTTAAAATATGTAGGACAGTCTCCCTGTACAGTCCAAGCTGTGTCCTTCTGCCTTCCCCTCACAGACTCCACACACACAAAAGGTTTCATCTGCAAACCACACTCTAATGAAGATCTCCTGGAAGACAACTTAGAATAGGTTTGTGTTGTGCATTTTGCAGCATGACACTTGTCTTCTTTTAGATATTTCCATACTCTAAATACCTCACTCTATAGTCCTCAGACCTCATCCTTGCTTTGCCCTATCCTTTTTATTAGAGAACAGTGCAGCTCAACTCATG